CCCCTATACAGAATTTTATTGTTGTTAACAACCATTTGATCAATAAATATGAGAGATGCCCTCTCAAAAAAAAAACAAAAACAAAAAAAACAGACCCAGCTGTTGTTTAGTGAGGGTAGAGGGTCAGTTTTACAAGATGAAGAGTCCTGGAAATTGGTGGTACAACGTGACTGTACTTAACACACTGCTGAGCTGTACACTTAAAAAATGGTTAACATGGTCATTTTTAAGTTACATGGACTTTATCACAATTATTTTTTAAAGGAGAATAAATTTACATTAAGCTAATTTACATTAAGAAAACAGAAAGGTTCCAATCATGCTGTCCCCAGGTCTTTCCTAACCAGCCCCCTCTCTGAACTCCTAGGGCCTCACATCCTTTACCACACACATGGCTTGTGACCATTCACAATCTTGTGTTTTTAATAATCTGTTCATTTGTCTTCTTAATTTGGTTACAAGCATCTTAACAGTGCTCAACAAATATCTGCTGTCAAATGACTGGCCGCAGAAGCAAAATCAAACTGCAAAGAAAACGATAAACCACAGTAACTGCTTTATTGTTAAAAATATTTATTTTTCTAAAAGATCACACAAAAGTTGGGAAGAGAAAGAAAGGTGTCAACTAACCTACATCAAAACCTGGGCAAGGAAACACAGCTGCCTGAACAACCAGTAGCTGGAGCCGACTGCAGAGGTCGGCTGGCCGCTGGGTCAGCGATGAGCCTGAGTCAGCCTCACTCGTGAGCACCAGCGAGGAGGCAGGGACAGCCAGGCCCCGGTCACTCCTCCTGGAGAAGGGGGAGGCAGGAGCTCACTCTTTAGACATGTTCTTGATGGTCTTGTGCTCCCTCATGGCCTTCTCCCAGTCACCGCCATCGAATTCCTCAATGAGCACGCTCCGCACGGTGCCCTCATCCAGGCAGTGGGGAGCAATTCCTAGAGGGAAGTGGCACAGAGAAAGGGGCACTGAGTATGAATGCAATCAGGTTCGGCACTGGCTCTTAAATAAACCCACACCTGGAAGCCTGGCCGAACTGCAGACCAGGCTTTCCAAGCAACACACTGTTTATCAGAGCTGACAATGTCAGCCCCCGCTGGCTCTCCCCCTCTCTCACGGGGGGATCAGACTTCCCAAGCCAGGGACAGCCTAGGCTGGACATCACGCAGTACCAAGCTGAGGGCAGAGAGCAGAAAGACTCAAGCCCAGAGCATGCTGGCTGGCAGCCTGAAGAATTCACAGGCCTTCTCCAGGGTGTAGATGATTTTCTAAGCGTTAAACACCTCCCCAGTTGTACTAGATTTTTTACTTTCCAAAGGCCTTTCCTGATCCTTCAGGTAGTCAGGAAGGACTCTCTGAGTGACTGATGAGGGACAACCAGGGTAGGGAGGGAGACGCCACACCTGCCCCCCACCACAAGGCATAAGGTGGTCACAGTCACGCTGCCCCCCACAGCTCTGCATCCACACGGGGAACAAGATCCCTCAAGTGCAGCTTCAACCAGTACTCTCACTCAGTTCACACTGCCATCAGAGTCATTTGGAACAATGAAGGGTTGTTTTCTTCCACTCAGACCCAAGCAAGACCCGAAGAGGGGCTTTGGGGTTCTCCTGTTTCTGTGTTGAACAAACCAGATTCTTTTAAATGGCATTTTCAGTGCTCCTCATTGCAGCCACCTTCACTTAACCATTTTTGTTAGCTGCCCCCCGGCCCCAGACCATCTCTTCTCCCGCCTCTCTACCCCACAGGTTGGCCCCAGCAGCACACAGCCCCTGCAGCACCTTAAATGCATCGGGTTCTGGATGGTGCCTCAATGACCAGAGCCAGTCTTACACCCATCATTTGGAAAGAGCTCTGCTCTTCTGAAACATGCGTGTGAGAGGGCCTGGCCAATCGGGAGGCAAGCCCAATCTGCCCGCACCCACTTTCCAGCCAGCATTCTAGCCCAGAGCAGCCGCAGAGCAGCTCGTGCCCCTGCTGAGTTCGCGGTCCATTCTCCGCTCACCGAAGCCCCCAGGGTTCGAGCGGGGCGTGTAGAAGCTCTGGACACCACATCTCTTACAGAAGGTGTGCTGCGCTTTGTGAGTGTTGAACGTGTACGTGGTTATGCAATCAGCTCCCTAAGGGAAAACAAACAGGTGTTCTTTTACAAAGAGGATATTTTTGTCATTTAAATAAAAATAAACCTTTTAAAAGACTCAGTGGTGGGAGCCCATTTGCAGGAATCTCCAGATTCTGAAGACATGTCTAACCTCCCATGTGACCAGAGACCAGAGGTGTCTGGAGGACAGGGACCCATCTATCCTGCCCGGAGACACTTCAGTCGGAGTGTGACAGCTCTCAGCTCCTCTCAGGCCAGCTGCACACAGCGCCCCCAGCTGCAGCCACTGCCCAGTCCGTGGCAGAACAGCCTGCCCTGCTGACGCCAGGGAGTGGGAAATGTCTGCTCCTGGGGCCGCAACGGGGAGACAGCCCACCCTCAGGGCTGCTGTCCGTGTCCTCACACCGCACTGCTAAAGGTGCTGAGTAAAGCTGACGGGGTGTCCTGCCTCTACAACGGGCAAACCAGGGGACAACGTTTGCCAGATATCATGGATGGACAAAGAGCTAGTTTCCGTAATGGATAACACAATTGGGAAACTGGGCAAAGGACATGAATACGGTTCAGAGAAAGGGGAAAACAAGTCTCTTGTTAACTTAGGAAATTATATTCATACTCAATGAACTGCATGAGGTATTTTTCAGTCAGATGAGCAAATGTTAAAAAACTGATTAACTTGGTATTGAGTATGTGAAGAACCATACAGTCTCATTTATCAGTCATGGGAATATAAACTGGTAAAATTCGGCAATATCTACCAAATTTCAAAATGCACATATCCTTTAATGCAGCAATTGCACTTTAGAAATTTTCCTACACCTGCAATTCCATATGACATGTCTACAGATATCAGAGCTCTGTTTGTAAAGGCTAATGAACACTGTTTGTAAAGGCTAACTTCCAAAAATGGAAGATGTCTCTCAACATGGTTAAAGCAATTACAGATACTCATAAGAAATGGAATACTCTGCAACTCTGGAAAAGAATGAGGTAGTTCTACTTACAAATACTATTATGGGACAATCTCCAAGGTCACACAGTTAAGGGAAAAAGCGAGGTATAAAACAATTTGTATTGTATACTCCTGTTTCTATTTCTTTAAAAAGGATATACCATGTTAAGTGCTTTTATATGGAGATAAATATCTGAAGAGATATCCAAGAAACAGTGGTTTACCTCCAGGGGGAGGAACTGGGTGGCTGAAGGGTCAGAGGTGGAGGCTCCTTACCACGTAAGACCTTTTACCCTTTTACCCTTATTCCCCGGCCTCTGCAGGAGAGAACGCCTCATGTGACGCAGTGAGCGCTCCTCTCCGCCCACAGCAGCCACCCCACAGGGAACAGCAAGGAACAACTGCCAAGCAGCCCCAGACCACCGGTTATCTGATGACCCACTCTCCCCAGGAAATGACTAGGAGGGGTGACGGGCTGCCTCCCATCCCACTCGCCGCACTCTGCACTAGAGGCCGCCAGGGACATTCAGGCCCTCGGCCCCTGTGATCCTTTACATCCACCACCCGGAGCCCACCCGCCCACTGCCCACCAGAGCAAACGGCCTGCCGTCATCAAACCCTTGACCTGTCAGGTCACTTCTGCCTTCTGGCTCAGCCAGAAGTCACCCTGACCGCCATGTTGACCAACCTGCTGGTCACGCTCGGCCACTGGGTTCCCAGCTCGCTCCCAGCCTGCCCTCACCCACTCCTTCCATTCCAAGACACCTGCACTCCATGGAGGCCTCCTCCTCCCCACCGACCCTCCTCCTTCCTGCTGCTCTGTCCTCGGCACCCCCTTCCCCACACCACTGCCCAGCTGACCTCACCCAGCTGCCCAGCTCTGCACAACAGTGACGGGCTGACGACTCCCACAGCAGCGGCCGCAGCTCTGGCCTCTCCTCACAATTCCAGACTTGTCTTTCAGCTCCTGTTTCGAAAGATAACCTCTCCGCACAACCTCCAGCTGCCCACTTCTTATCTCTATACAAATGTTCTAGACACTCAGCTGAACTTTTCTCAAATGCAACTCTGATTCCCAGCGACCTCCACATAGCCTCTCCCCCAGGTCTGGCACCTCCAGCCAGCTAGCTGCTCAGGCCCAACACCATGGATGAACTTTGCCCTCCTCTTTTCCCTTCCCATTCCCGCCCAAACCTGTATGTAATTCTGCTCACCCCGCCTCTGAAGCAGTGGCTCTCAAAAGGGTGGCCCCAGGACTAGCAGCGTTGCAGTCACCCAAGAACTTGTAAGACATGTCAATTCTTGCCCCCCACCCCCAGACCTCAGAGGATCTGGAGTGGGGTCCAGCAATCTGTTTTAACATGCCCTACGGGTGGCTGCGCACATAACACTGGCGTCTGAGAACCACTGCTCTAAAACAACCTGCCATTTATCTATTTCCTTCCCATCCCCTGACGACCACCCGAATCCAAGCTCCCGCCACCCCTCACCCGGCCCACCTTCACCCCCAGCAGCGTCCCTGCCCCGCACATATCTCCTTACCATCCATTGTCCACAAAGTGGCCCAAGTGACTTTTAAAACACTGAAGCAGGTCGTGTCACCACCCTGCTTAGAAACCACCACAGGCATCACACTACATGAGAAATAAAATGTCTCCTTGCTGGGTCCTGCCTCTCTCCCAACCCATCTTGGCCCAATCTTTCTCCTCCACCCACCAGCCACCCTGCAGCCATGATGGCCATTGTTCAGCTCCTGCCACATACCAAGCATGAGTCCCTCTACCTGGGATACTCCTACTGTCCGTGAGCCCCATCTTCATCACCTACACCCCAGAGGGCATTTCCCTAAGCAGTCTAAACTAGCCACGCAGCCACCTCCTGTTACACTGCTGTACTTTCACTCTCTACACAGCACTACTGGAGTTTCCTTATACACCTGTCTCCCCCTACAAAGCTTAAGTTCCCAGAGAACCAGGGCCTTGCCTGTCATGTTACCTGCTGGGTTTCAGTAGAACAGTACGTCACACTTGCTGAATGAATGACCAAATTTTGTACTTAATTAAAAAAAAACAACAGACAATTGTTCCTTCAACAGGTTGTGGCCAAAGAAGAGAAGAATGCTCTGGAGCCCCAGGAAAATGCATCAGTAAGCACCCCAAAGAGGGAAAGCATCACATCTAAGTCCTAATGGCCCATGGCTGCACCTGCTGGTGTCTCAGGAACCATCTGTTATGGGCACTCAGAGGCAAAGTTGAAGCACGGCCACGGCCTTTGGCAGGCGTCCCAGAGCTCACGGGAAAGACGAGGGGCAGGTATGTTACCCACCTGGCCCGCTTCCCCCACCAGACATCCACACAAAGGACCAAGGGGCAGACAAAGGAGACAAACTGGCCCAAAGCATCTGGGATTAAATCTCACTAACTAGGAAAGACCAGGATTTGTGCACCTAGTCTTTCCTCCCAGACACTGAGTGCCCACTCAGGGCCACGCCTACGGAGCCAGGAGCCAACCAGATGCGACAAAAAGTGACACCAGGAGATCCCCATGATCTTGTACGAAGACAGGCTGGAGAAAGATCATTACACTCAAGCACAGAGACCAGCTGACCACAGTGGGGGCAACAGGCCCCAAGGACAGAATGAAAGCCCATCCCACCCACATCAGCAATGCTGTGCTGAGAGCCTTTTAAAGAAAATCTACATTCTCTGACCAGATATTTTATGTCTAAGAGAAATGACCTAAAGAAACAATTTAAAGACTGTCAAACGTTTATATTCAGGGGAGTTCATCACAGTGTATTTTTACCTCAATGAAAAAACTGCACTCAGCCTACAAGTTCAAATACAGAAAACTGTTTATGGTACCTTCCTGTAACAAAATATGCTGCAAATACAGGAATAGTAGTAGAAGTAAACAGTATAAGGAAATGTTGTGGGGGAGGAAGACTCAGGGGCTGAGGGACAGCAGAGGGAACACTTCTCACCACGTGCACGTGTGTGCGTACATACATATTTCTGTAGCTTTTAGGTTTGGTACCAAGCACAAAAAATTCTCCCAAGTAATAAAGTTAAAAATTTTTGACTCATATATTTCTCACTGGGAAATGTTAAAAGTCAGTTATAGAACAGAAAAAAAAAGGCAAAATCCTACTTTGATAAAAATATGCACAAAGGGGAGGAGCCAAGATGGCGGCATGAGTAGGGCAGAGAAAATCTCCTCGCAAAATCATATGTATTTTTGAAAATACAACAAATACAACTATACCTAAAAGACAGACCAGAAGTTACAGTACAACAGCCAGGCTACAGATATATCTGCGAGAACCCAGCACCTCGCGAAGGGGGTAAGATACAAGCCGTGGCCTGGCGGGAACCAAGCGCCCCACACCCCAGCTCCCGGCGGGAGGAGAGGAGTCAGAGCAGGGAGGGAGAGGGAGCCTAGGACTGCTAAATAGCCAGCCCCAGCCATCTGGACCAGAGCACAGACACACAGTGCGTGGTGTGCTGGATACTAAGGAAACGGGACAGTAAAATCTGCAAGCAGGTACCCACAGCCAGCGCCCCTGGGACAAAAGAAAACCAAGTACTTCTTTAAAGTCTTAAAGGGACAGGGACTCCACAGCTGGACGGAAGTGTCCCGGCACACTTAGCCCAGCAGCTGGGAATCCTGGGGAACTCCAGGAGCCCTAACCCCTTGAGAGACAGTGCAGCTCTGAAGCCCCTCATGGCGATAAACAGCCTCCCAGGCCATTCCTCCTCTGGTGCAGCCGCGCCACAGCAGGGGAGCAGGCTGAGAGCAGCCACGCCTACAGCAACCACCCAGAGCCTCCTCCGCAGTAGCGCAGACCAGACTCAGAGGCCCTGCTGGCGCACAGCTGCCCAAGACAAGACACTAGGGGTTGCCATTCTATCAGGAGAGCACACCCAGCATGCCTGCCACTCCCCGCAGGGCTCTGGGCTGCCCCGACTGCAGCGGCTCAGGAAATACAACTGAAGCTGCTCCCTGTGTGACGTTAACCGGCAGAGGCAGCGAGGTGGGCAAGACAACCAAGAAGCAGGAAGGGACTT